CTTCTGTCAATCATAGATATATGCGCAAAGCAGATATGAAGAATCTTTTTATTCCACTTTGACACCCGTCGAGTGAAAGATTCCACGTTTTTTAATAGTCGTGAGTAACGTGGTATTATGATTTTCCATTGAATGACAATTATTTTTATTTTCGTCACACCGGTTGTCAAAAAGAGTCTCTAGTTTTTTAAATAATTGTTTCTAATTTGGTATTGTGATTTTAGGTGTGATATTTTTTTTAAATTTTTACTGAAGTATTTGCAGTGAAGAGACTAATTCTTTTTAATAATTGTCTAATATGGTATTGTGATTTTCCATGGAATGACAATTATTTTTATTTTTATCACTGGGTTTTTCAAGAAAGAATTTCTAGTTATTTTTTTAATAATTGTAATTAATTTTGTATTGTGATTTTAGGTGTGATATTTTTTTTTTAATTTTTACTGAAGTGTTTGCAGTGAAGAGGCTAATTCTTTTTAATAATTGTGTCTAATATGGTATTGTGATTTTCCATGGAATGACAATTATTTTTATTTTTATCACTGGGTTTTTCAAGAAAGAGTCTCTAGTATTTCAAATAATTATTTCTAATTTGGTATTGTGATTTTAGGTGTGATATTTTTTTTTAATTTTTACTACAGTGATTGCTGTGAAGAGCCTAATTTTTTTATTAATTGTGTCTAACATGGTATTGTGATTTTATATGTGATGAATATTATTTTTTATTTTGATCAAAATGATTTCAGTGAAGAGATTACAATCTTTTTTAAATAATTGTATTTAATATGGTATTGCTATTTTATTTGTGATTAATATTCTTTTTTATTTTTACTATAGTGATTGCAAAGAAGAGATTCTAACATTTTTTTAGTAACTGTGTCTAATATGGTACTGCGATTTTATATGTGATGAATATTCTTTTCTATCTTGATCAAAATGATTGCAGTGTGGAGCTTCTACTTTTTGTTTCAATAATTCTGTCTAACTTAATATTTTAATTTCGGTATGACGAATATTCTTTTTTATTTTTAGTAAAATGATTGTAGTGAAAAATCCAATTCTTTTTAATAATTGCATTTCTAATTTGGTACTGTGATTTTTAGATGTGATAAATATTTCTTTTATTTTCACCAAAATGATTACAGTAAAGAGTCTAATTCGTTTTAATAATTATGTTTCGAATTTGGTATTGTGACTTTTAGATGCGATGAACATATTTTCTATTTTGTATTCAAATGATTGCAGCGAAAAGTATAATTTCTTTTAATAATAACAATTTTAAATAGAATATTTCGAAATGAGTGAAATCTTCAAGAATACAGTGATTCTACATGAAAAATCGAATCGAAAGTATAAAACAAAATTTGTTTTCGAGATAATTGAGCTTGAAAATTTGCTGAGTATGCTCACATAAATCAGTTCTGACTGTGAGTAACTTTTCACAAAGAGCAATTTATCTTAATATTTGCACATGTCAACAGAAACTGAAGTCATTTGATTATTGCAATTACTTTTTTATTGATACATTAATCCAATTGCAATTTTTAGCAACCCCTATCCAAAGAATTTCCAAGCTCAATTACTTCTAAAACGAAACTTCGTACCAAAAAATTTTATTCTATATTTTTTCTTTGTTTTTACATCTAGTATCATTTTATTATCCTCTTTATTACCTAAAATACCTAAAATACATTTTACTGGTTATAATGTAATAAATCAGCGAATAATACGAATTTCAGACTTTTCCACTCTCATTATACGATTTTCAAATTGCGTACAATGAGCAGCGCACAAAGTATCATACTTTTCTTTTCGATTGCTTGTTACGATGTATTCTGCGAATACTGAATAACTTACAAAGACTTCTATGTTGACGTGCAACTGCAACTGCAACCGTGAGTTACACGGATAGGTAGGAAATGAAGTGCACTAACCTGTTCTGCAGATTCGGTGATAAAAGAGTGGCAATATTGTATGCTGAAGTGCGCTCTAGGCTCTCTGGCGAGGAAGCTGAATTGAGCGTGCTGAGGTTCACAGGTTGCGTACGAGATGCGCCTTAACGCGTGCGCCATTTGCACGCACTGAAAAAATAAAGCCAATAATTGCATATAATCATTTCATTATCCCTTACACGACTGTGATCAAATTTTATTATAGTACCTTAAATGTAAATATAAAATTATTAGAATTAAAAAATTCATTGATAATTTTAATCTTTTAATATTGATTATAAAACACTTATTTGCAAAGTTGCAAAGTTAGTTGCAAAGTTGCTAACTTTGATTACAAAACTCTCCTCCATATATTAAAAAAAAAACAGAAAAATATAAACATTATAATATTTCTGGAAATAAACTTTGCATTTCTAATACTATACAATATTTTAATTTTTATATCAATATTTAAATTATTCCTTAATTTAGAAAGTACACCTAATCGTCTTTTTACGTGACAATATACCGAGTAAAAATAGTTGTATAATAAAAGTCATGCAAATATTGATCAGAAGAAAATTTCTTGCTAAAACCTAATCTTTTTGGAAATAAATTTTGCATTTCTAATACTATACAATATTCTAATTTCTATGTAAGTATTAAAATTATCTTTCATTTCTATTTTTAAATTAAAAAGTATACCTAACCCTCTTCTTAAAACTCATGAAAATATTGCTTAAAAGAAAATTTCTTAAAGAAATATTTCTATAAAACTTATTTCGAAGCTATAATTATATTATTTCTATAAAACTTATTTTGAAAGCTATACAAAATTTCGAAATCAATCGAAATATTGCGTCTTTCAAGTTACGTATCTCTAACGACGCCATTTCTGCGACTCGAGCGCCACCTGCAAAATGGCGACTCCGCTTTCCCGCCAAAAGCGGGAACCTCGCTTAACCTTCCACTCAGCTCCCATCCGTATAACCAGAATTAAATTCCAATAAGCGATTTCTCGATGAATATCAATCGCGAAATTGCAGATACTTTGTCAGAGTGGAAAATAACGAAGCTCCATTAATTCCCCGCAACATCCTCCTAAACCGAAGACAAACAAGATCGCAATCCCGAAGAATTTTCCCCGGTGTTTACCTCGCTAGCTCTCGCTATTTGCAAAACGGATGGTAATTGCGAGCTTTCCTTCCCTTTTGAATACTAAATAAAAATGTCTACCGAATAATGATACGCTGCTTCGAAGGCACGGCAGGTCAGAAGATCAAAGCAGCTTGTTACGTTTCAGTCTGCAAGCAGTTGGGAACATTTCTCAAGCATAAAGTAGCGACGTCTCTCGCGACACCGTTCTCGCGCGTTATCTTGTGTTATATATTGCGGGGCTCGTTGAATTTCTCTTTGCGATTTTATGCGTTCTTACTAGTTTTCACCGTTTGCTTGCTTTCCCGTTGCTACGTGGTCCCCTCTTACCCTTTTCGCGCATGTTCAAAAACTTTGGCGCCCCTTTGAAGTGTATCGCGACGTTCCTCAAACGCTGGTTTATTCGGTGGTTGCTGGGTAATGGTAATAGGAAAAATATACCGTTTGCTGCTCAGGAAAACCCTCGCTTTGTGTAAAAGATGGAATGCCCGTGATTATTCCAATGGCTTTAATGCATACTGAGCGATCCGCGTAATCGTTGCCGCCAGTATACCGTTTGCTGCTCAGGAAAACCCTCGCTTTGTGTACAAAGATAGAATGCCCGTGATTATTCCAATGGCTTTAATGCATACTGAGCGATCCGCGTAATCGTTGCCGCCATTTTCTCGCTAGTTACGACGAGCTAACGAGGCACATTAGGTCACTGGAAAATTTTTCTCCCAATTTAACAAATTTCGAAAATCTTCGACTTATTTTGTACTTATTTTTTAGATTGCAATGGGCAATGAAAAATAATAACCATGGCATTTCTTCTGGGTGCACTTTGGTTTATTGTTAGTGTATTATTGTCGAGGTACACAAGGATGACCCTGACGAATATTCGTATATTTTTCTTTATGCAAACGATTGGTTCATTTCAAGTTCAATTCACTGAACTATGATACTTTGGTGTTTGAAAATTGTTTAAGGTCTGAGATAATGTATAGTACTGTGCGTTGCTGACAAGAAGTCCGCTGTTTCAGCACAGGGGTAGAGGGGTATTCCACTTGCTTCGCTTAATATGCTTGCTCATAGTCCCCACTCTTCTTTGACATTACCGAAACCACTATTTTCAGGTTTGGTAACGTTATACGTTAACATAGGCGTAAGACATTCGCAAAATTCCTATTCTCGAATAATACATTGCAGGCCTGCGAATATCACAGTACAGTCAAGTTTCCTATAACACGGTTTTCATAATCCAATTTTCATATAACCCGGAGCGAAAATTGGTATAGTTCTCCTATAACACGGTTCCCTTATAACACGTTTTTCGTATATGAGCATTCCAACAACTCAAATAGCTTGGAAAATTTATCAATGAATGTGTGAATTCTGATCAGACTGAAGGGGTTTCATAAGAGTGTTTGACAATAAATCATTTGTTTCAGGAATAAATATAAATAAGTAGAAATATGGAATAACATTGATGGATAAGAGAGCTTTGGGCTTTGCTAGGCGCCCAAAATATAATTATATAAAAGAAAGTAACAATGTTAGGATCCTATTTTAAATTAGGAAGCATAACTGATACGTATCAAATTAAGTTTCTTTATTGGAAACAAATTTTGTAGTTTAGCCTTTTATTATATGAACTATGTATTATATTTGATAAACCTAAATTCAAATATTATATGTAAAAATCTACATACTCATTGCCACTTCTATTATAAAATTTTATTTATTAATAGTATCATTCGCAACTTGATACTTTGAGAATGCAGTTCTTATATAGATCTCATTTATGTACAATTTATTTATTTCTGAAATTCCATATTCAATTTATATTATTTCTGATTTTCTTATAGCGTGGTTCCTACATAATGCGGCAGTGGTTTCCATATAACGTGGTATAAATTAATCCAATTTGTCTTATTGCTATGTTTATCATAACGCGGTTTGCATAGAACGCATTTCCTGATTTCAATTAACCACTTGCGCTGGAAAGACGTGCTACGCACGTCGTGATGCTTTTATCGCAGAATCGCTAACTACGTGGTATATACTATGCGTGGCTGAAAAGAAGTCATCTCGTTCGATTGCGAGGCAAGAGGGGCATTCCACTAGTAATACCCACTCTTCTATGACACTCCCAAAACTACTACCTCCAAGTTCGATAACGTGATACGTTAACATAGGCCCAAGATATCCGTAAAATTTTTACACTCGAATAATAGAAGACGCAATTGAAGACCTAGGATTGGAAACACAAAGCAGTGAGTCGGATAAGGAATCAGATGACAATAGCTCGGAAGATTTATAAGCTAAAGGAGCACAAAAGTAATAATAATTAACGTCATTTATGAAAATTGATTTAAAATTTAAGATGTATTTTTTATGATAAATTAATTATGTAATTGCATCATGCTAGATAACCGTTTAAAAAAATCACACGATACAACATAAATATAAAAGATACGTGTATAGTACATCACGTTTGCTGCGTAATGCAATGAAAAGTTAATCGAGATGCTAATTAGTAATTAGTAATTGCAAATAATCATGCGTTCATCGGAAGAATCTGAAGTTGATATGCTTTTGGGATGAGTCTACGCTCTTGCATCTATTTGTTGCGTCTGTCTCGCTTTGTCTCGTTGCTTCATTCGCTTTCTTTGTCACATGGTGTTCTATGACCGGGCTAATAGGAAGGGATCAGTTCTGCCAATAAGGGAAGCGTTTTACTCTACTTCTGCCATGATGTTAGAACGAACGAGTTGGTAAGGATTAGTGTGGATTCGGTCCTACAGTAAAGTTTTGCTCAGCGGACTTCTTGTCCATTAAGGCACAGTAGTTACCGACTAACTCGTGTTACAGGGCCCGGTCCTGACGGGCGGCGACAGTATTCCTAACTACGATAAGCGTCAAAATAGTGTCGGTACGATCCCCGATAATTCACAATCGATACAGGTGAAGTCAAATTACGCGTGTATAAGAAGACGAAGAATAAAAATGACATGCGACGCGTTAAGTGAAAAACTTAATCTTCCTTCACCTTTGGAGGTTCTAAGTATATAATGCCATTTTTGACAATAAGGGAAACGCGTAAACTCTACTTCTGCGACGGTGTTAGAATGCGTAGGTGGCGAGAGTTGGTGGGGGGATTGGGTCCTACGTTTTGCTCAGCGGACTTCTTGTCCGCAACGCATAGTAGATGTGCGTGCACTGGCTGCGCGGCGGTAAAATCCCGCTTACGAGTTCCCGTTATATATTTTACCATGCTATCAATATTGAACAGCATCCTTGTTAGTCGCGGATATTATATTTAAATGGATATATTAAATGTTAATTTAACGATATTATTGCACAGGGTAAAAATGATCAATGAACTATATCTAATTATGTTTACTCTTTCTCACGATACTCGTTCACAAGCTTCTTCTCAATGAATTCTGAATTGCAACTGACCTATCCAATTACTCTCTCATTTGTTCTCTCTTCTTCTGTATATTATATAAATACACACATTGTACACCACACTTCATTCGTTACACGCATAACTCGATCTACTCGTTCTTTCTTACAGATATTTATTTTTACATCGATATATGTATTGACCCTTTGCACTCGACGATCTTTTTGTTACAGAAACATAGTAATTCGAAGACTTTCTGCCAGAAAGTCGACGATATTTTCAAAATATGAAGTGTAAATTAATTGTAAGATGTAGAATTATTTTAACTCGATATTCCACGCGTAGTTGGGCAATTTTAAATTCGAGATATTAATTAACACTAGATTTGCGGAACCCGTGAATTTGACGTAAAGGTTGCTCCAATTATACGATGGTAACAGATTTAGTTAACTTATATTAAGACTGTTAATACAATATATATGTAGGATACCAAAAGAAATAGCGAATCGGCTATTGCCAACAAAAGCAAATTGTAAACCGATCGATATCTTCTAGAAGCAAATCAAAAAGTTATTCTATATAACAAAATTAAGTTGCGGGACTC